AAAAAAAAAAAAAAAAAAAAACATCAAAATAACGGAAAATAGCAACGTGCATTGCGAACTGCTAAAAGCCATTTAAAAGGTTCTATAGCGCTTGCGGAGTTTTTTCCATAAGAACAATGTTATCTACGAAATTAAACAATTGCGGCACTTTACTATCGATGTGGAATACCCTGCTGTTTCAGAATTCTATAGGATGAATTCAAATGCGCCAGCAAAAGTTCATGGTGGAAAAAACTTCAGCTTGCTTCGTGTTCTCGCCGGTTCTTATTTTTATGGGGTCCTCGAAAAGAGTCTTTTTCTGTACACAGCCCTTTTTCTGCACAATTCGAAAAAGGAATATTCGATAAAACGTATACATGTCATATCGGTCGCCCGGTCTGAGATAGTTTAAAATAGTAAAACCTACTGTGTAATAAGCCTTCTCAGGACGGAAGAACTACAAACGTAATTTTTTGTTATCCACATCCTTCTACTGGTCACTTTAATCTAAAGGGATGCCTAAGTGATTTTTTTAAAACGGTCGACTAAACCACTAATTGGCTGTCACTGATCCTTCAGGAGATAAAACTAAAGAAACGGTTTAATGAAAGTTTCTAAATGAATTTATTTTTACCCAGTTTATGATGGAGCGCCGATATTTCTTCAGAAAGTATTCATGATCTTTCACATCTTTCGGCAGAGGGCTTAAACAGTAGCCAAGCTGACAGTCCAGCACAGGCGTACGTGGCTTTTGATTATTTAATGTCAGTTCCAGGTAATTGAACGTATCCGATTCACTGAAAATTGCCAATTGCCAGTTTAATGGAAAAGTGGACTCACTGAATATTCGGATGAAATTTGATAAAAAAAAGACATCTTTCCTGAAAGTAGGCAAGCATATACACTTTTAACGTGAATTGCAAAAATTTAACCATCATAGGCGGATCCAAGACGGAATTCTGAGGGATAAGGGGCAGGACAGCAGGTGGTGGAGGAGAACCCGCTCTAAATCCGGAACTGTGCAAACACTAGGAATAGAGTTGTAACACTGCTACTTAGAGTTATTTTAGT